TTATTGCACAAAAGCTTCATCTATGTGCTTCTTCCACTTGAATTTTTTATGAAGGATCAGAGACCTTCTTACAATGCTTTCTTCTTCCTCTTCTATTAAATTGTCCATATATATATAACCGAATTATTCTTTTAATTTTCTTCCCATTTTGTACTGCTTTCCCATTCTTTATTTAAGGTCTTATTAGAAGCAATGATTATGATTTCATTCGAAATGTAATGTGAGCACATAAGTTAAAGTGAAATAAAACTTCCAGTTAAACAAAACACCTGACAAAAACATGTCAATGATCAAGTGTAATAACTGACAAGAAACTACTATAAAAATAAAATACGAAGAAAAATCGGCATTTGGTTTTATAGTAGTCAGAACCACGATATTCTGAACAATTTTTTTCTCAACTAAAATTCGTTGTCACAAATACAATATCGGAATATCGATTTCCTACCAGTCACCAAGAAACATTTTTTCAATAAAAGTTCTTTCTAAGAACTGAGGAAGAATTCCTAAAAATTGTCTTAGGAAAGGCCTAGGACACTTTATATCTTTCTGGAATTAATAATATTATATGTACACTATAAACGTTACTAGATAGATGGTTCGATCTAATCCACTTCTTTGTATGATCACAATAGATCAATTTACGTTCTAAGTGAACTCATTAGCCGAGCTCCACTGGAATCTATTTATCGTGTAACTTAGTCAAGAATTTCACAAATAAACTAAAATCAAAAGTTTTAAATTAAAAATCGAAGACTCCAGAGCAGATATTCCAGAAATAAAGGATATTAAATTATTTAAAATAATTTGGTTTTGATAAATTTAAATTAATCTTAAATTTTTGAGAAATCGAATTAATTATGTTTTATAAATTAATTTAAATTGTCGAATTAGTTTTTAATATTAATAAGTTAAATTAATTTCACACAAATAAAATTCTGTTAAATTAAATTGATTTGTTTTTTTTTCAGTTATATAAATCTAAATTAATTGAAATTAATGAAATTAATTTATTGATCTTTAATTTACCCAATTCAAATTAATTTAAATTTAAACAATTAAAATAATTGAATAATTTTAATTAATGCTATTATTATTATTAATTAATATTATTATTTATAATTAATATTATTAATTTATTAATAATATTATTATTATTTTTATTATTATTATTATTAATTAATTAATATTATTATTTATTATTAATTAATTAATAATATTATTATTATTAATTGATTAATATTATTATTATTTATTAATTATTAATATAGAGTTTTTATAAACTAATGTCAATAATATATATATTGTTAATATATATATATATATAAATACTGTTCATATATATATATATATATATATTGTTAAATTAAAATAAAAATTAAGGGAAATCAAAAAATTATTTTACAGTAAATTATATAAATAAATATATTATTATATTTTGTTCTTTTTTCTGAATTTTCATTATAAACAATATTAAAAAATTGACCACTTAGCTTGTGAAAGTACTATATTAAAAATTGTTTGGTCATAAAATAATAAATATTAATTAATTATATTATTTATATATAGCATTATATATATCAAATAGCATCATACATGTATATTATTAATTAGCATTAATATTGTTAATTAATATTAATATTATTAATAAGTTAATAATATTAGTTATGTTATTATCAACTGATATTATTTTATTTAAATAAAAACTATTACCTTTATTTACTTCAAAAAATATTTTTTGCAGTACATAATTTTATTCTTTTTTATTTAAATAAAATAATATCAGTTGATAATAACATAACTAATATTATTAACTTATTAATAATATTAATATTAATTAACAATATTAATGCTAATTAATAATATACATGTATGATGCTATTTGATATATATAATGCTATATATAAATAATATAATTAATTAATATTTATTATTTTATGACCAAACAATTTTTAATATAGTACTTTCACAAGCTAAGTGGTCAATTTTTTAATATTGTTTATAATGAAAATTCAGAAAAAAGAACAAAATATAATAATATATTTATTTATATAATTTACTGTAAAATAATTTTTTGATTTCCCTTAATTTTTATTTTAATTTAACAATATATATATATATATATATATGAACAGTATTTATATATATATATATATTAACAATATATATATTATTGACATTAGTTTATAAAAACTCTATATTAATAATTAATAAATAATAATAATATTAATCAATTAATAATAATAATATTATTAATTAATTAATAATAAATAATAATATTAATTAATTAATAATAATAATAATAAAAATAATAATAATATTATTAATAAATTAATAATATTAATTATAAATAATAATATTAATTAATAATAATAATAGCATTAATTAAAATTATTCAATTATTTTAATTGTTTAAATTTAAATTAATTTGAATTGGGTAAATTAAAGATCAATAAATTAATTTCATTAATTTCAATTAATTTAGATTTATATAACTGAAAAAAAAACAAATCAATTTAATTTAACAGAATTTTATTTGTGTGAAATTAATTTAACTTATTAATATTAAAAACTAATTCGACAATTTAAATTAATTTATAAAACATAATTAATTCGATTTCTCAAAAATTTAAGATTAATTTAAATTTATCAAAACCAAATTATTTTAAATAATTTAATATCCTTTATTTCTGGAATATCTGCTCTGGAGTCTTCGATTTTTAATTTAAAACTTTTGATTTTAGTTTATTTGTGAAATTCTTGACTAAGTTACACGATAAATAGATTCCAGTGGAGCTCGGCTAATGAGTTCACTTAGAACGTAAATTGATCTATTGTGATCATACAAAGAAGTGGATTAGATCGAACCATCTATCTAGTAACGTTTATAGTGTACATATAATATTATTAATTCCAGAAAGATATAAAGTGTCCTAGGCCTTTCCTAAGACAATTTTTAGGAATTCTTCCTCAGTTCTTAGAAAGAACTTTTATTAAAAAAAAGGTTTCTTGGTGACTGGTAGGAAATCGATATTCCGATATTGTATTTGTGACAACGAATTTTAGTTGAGAAAAAAATTGTTCAGAATATCTGTGGTTACTGACTACTATAGAAACCAATGCGATCTTTTCTTCGTATTTTATTTTTATAGTAGTTTCTTGTCAGTTATTACACTTGATACTTGACAATTGTTTTTGTTCCAGTGGTGTTTTGTTTAACTGGAAGTTTTATTTCACTTTAACTTATGTGCTCACATTACATTTCGAATGAAATCATAATCATTGCTTCTAATAAGACCTTAAATAAAGAATGGGAAAGCAGTACAAAATGGGAAGAAAATTAAAAGAATAATTCGGTTATATATATATGGACAATTTAATAGAAGAGGAAGAAGAAAGCATTGTAAGAAGGTCTCTGATCCTTCATAAAAAATTCAAGTGGAAGAAGCACATAGATGAAGCTTTTGTGCAATAAACCCTCGCATCTGTTGTGTTACTACTATGGGCGCTCAATTTTTAAATTCACTCAACGGTTTGTCGTCGGCTTAGAGTACAAAGGTGCTAAGTTCAGATTTTCAGATTTTACAAAAAACTTGAAAAACTTGATAATGGATATTTCTTTTAAGTCCCAAATACAGTTCCTGTGCTTTTAGTTCTTTTTTTAAATAAAATTAGTACAAAATATTTCGATTATAATTAAACCCTGTTTTATTTATTATCATATTTTACGTTGCTTTTGTGAAGCGTAGCACCTTATTTTAATGCGAGGACACCCAATTCTCTTCCAAAGTTACGGGAATTGTGGAATTAAAATGGTCTTTAAGCTAATTGAATTGACTATGATATCCTTTCGCTTCATCTACTTACTTACTGATGATAATTATAAATTTCGAACTATGATCCAACGATACTACTTAGATTAAGTTTCATGAATTTTTTTTTATTTACAAGATTTGAAAAAATTGGTAAGGAATTTTGAAGTAAGTACTAGTGTTGCTGAAAAAGCTACGCTTTCTTTATGGTGATAAAGAAGCTATATTTAAAATTTAGAGGGTTTTCGAATAGCAAAGAAAGAAAGAAAGGACAAACACAAAAAGAAAGAATTTTAAAATGTACGCTGCAATTACTCTAAAATTTGGGGATTATGAACTATTCTATTTTTTGAATAAACAGGAAAATATCAATTAATGTGTAAGAAGTTAAAAACAGACTAAGCTGTTACAAAATACTTGAAGATTACTCAAGAATACTCATATCACAGTTATTTGTTTTTGTTGCTAATTTACCTAACTACCCCTGTACACAATTCTTTTTTAAGCGAAAAAACATTAAAGTACAGCTTAAGCTATAGTCTGCAGAGAGCAGAATTAGGCTCTTAAATAAAAATTTAGCTATTGAAAACCTAAAAGCTTTTAATGTATTCTCCATTGGAGAGAATAAAGATCAGAACTGCTTCTATTTGTTGTGAGTTATATATGGTTTATAGTTAATAAACGATTGTAGTTACTTGCCGAGTTAGTCACCTAGTTCAAAGAACAGTGTATACTATTTTTGTATTTGCAATATGAAGCTCCGGTAAATATATAGTGAAAAGTATTGGTATATATAAAATCAAAAAACACATTCTCCTTGCATTGTACAAAACAGATTAAATGCTTATTTATCTTTTGTTGTTGCATATAAACGCATACTTTGCTCTGGTTATGTGTAATAGCCTGGAATTAAACACTCTCTTTTTATATCCATAAAAAAATCATATACCAATTCACAATTAAGAGTTATTATATAAATAAATCAATTAAGTTTTGTTTTTTGAGAACCAGTACTCAAGTGTTAGTAAGTTAGTTTCGATTTAACTGTCCATCATTGCACACACGATACTGAGTGAATATTGTGAATACGGGTAGTATCGCATCGAACGGGTAAATAAGGCTAAATCGTCCATGATGTCAATCTACCTAACTTAATAAAAATATAAGTGCAACTAGAATATTATCAATATGTCCTGGAATAATTCCTTAGAAAATAGCGAACATAGTGAAGAAATTCAAGTCGGATCGAATATATTCTCGGAATTGGTTCGCTATCCTAGTAATTTCTCAGAATTATTACGTTTTTGGCAATCTATTCAAAAGGCGGCAGAAAATGATAAGAACAACAACCAACATAATCAAGTTAAGAATATAGCAAAACCAACAAATGCCAACAACAACAACAGCGACAACGGCAGCGAGAACAACAACAACCATTTGCCAAAAGGTATCAAGGAACTGCATATATATTACTATAAACATTGGAACCTATACGCTCAGTTCATGACGTATGACATCAGAACACATATAGTTCGTAAATATTTACATATATTTATTTTTATGGACTTTTTAATGCCTCCAAGTAGAGACTGTGAATCTTCTGTTCCAAATTATGTCGCTCGTAAGATATATGTGGGAAGGCGAGGTAATTATAAAGTTGATACCTTTTTGATTGGTCGTCGCCGTTTTACGTTTTTAATAGCGCAAAAGTATCCATTAGAAGTCGTATGTCCCCGTAAAATCATGATCGGTACTTTTAATTTACCATTCCGTGTGCGTAAATTTTTATATGACAATATTCTTGAAATATTTGATCTGGACAATGATCATAACCATTGTAAATTCCAACTTATTGTGGAGCACTACTTATACAGTGCTTCGCGTTCTATTCCAATGTTTATGCTAAGCTATTCCACTATAAATTCGGATTGGCATTTAACTTCAAATACAATTGTTAGTGCTTCAAATCAAGTAGTGCGTTTAAATACATTGCTGCCGTTTCGTAGATATCCACTAAATGATGAAATTAAACGCTTAATGCCTTTTTCTCGTTATACTGATCACTATTGTAATTTCATCGAAGAGCTCTGTGTATGTATGACATATATTATAAACTCATGTCCAGTTTTGTTGAATCCCACACAGTTCAGTCAACTTCGCATTGCAAGTAATGGTTACAATAATTGGATTTCAGGTTTTCTACTTGATAAAACTTGTGGTCTTGGTTATCATTTCATGACTAAAAAAATGGGTATAATCTTCAACGATTCCACAATGTTGGTTGTAAGTTCGATAGATTTATCTCAATTGGAGTACACTAATGTTCTTGGCAGAACAAATCGCGTAAATTTTCCATTTGATTATAATTATTTGGGCTTAAAAATGAAGCTGTTATTATCCTTTAAAAAATATATGGATCATAATTTCAAAGTACCAATCGTCCAATACAGTCGTGGACAAAAGTTGCCAGGTGCTCCGGTGGTGTGTTGGTTCCAAACACAACATGTTGTTGCCATGTTCATTAGCGATAATAAAATTCAGTTCAATTTTTTGGGTGAACGTTTCAGAGCTATATTTGACTTGAACAATAATACTATGACAATATCAGATCAGAACTGTCCACTCAGACGGGGTTGTTACCGATTTAGAGATGTTGCCCATTATGGCTGCGATACTGACTTACTGGATAAAATTGCTTATTTGCGCCAAAAAATGTTGGATACCATGCAATTATATACAAAACACTAAACGGATGAAATCATTAAATTAAATTTTTTTAAGTTAATTCATTTTAATATCATATCTTTATGAACTCTGTAGTCATATTGTAAATAAATCAAATATAAATATATGTAATCATTTTTAAATAAAAGTTGAGTTATTGTTTTTGAGACGAATTGTGAAAGGAGTGAATTTAAATACATTGCTATTAAATAACTATATTGGATTTCATAATATCAGAGGTTTTAGACTCTTATGTCTTTCATAGAATGACGCCCACAATATACCTTGGAAAGAGATAATAGATAAGATGTAAATTATATGCGTAGCTAAAGAGAAAAAAATTCTTTAAAAGTATGCCCGAAGTAATATTGTTAATACTTCATAATATATATTTTGTACATACATAACTCAAGAATAAATTAGTCGTATATGAACCTCTGAAATGAAAAGTTGGTTTTTTTTTATTTTGTTGAAGATATAGTTTTTCCAAGAACAGAGGCAAATTTGACTCTACCATTACCGACCGGATGTCTTTCAATAAATTACAGCAAAACGTTTAATATGGGAAGGAGATGTTCCAAGGAGATGAAGTATCTAGGGGTCATCCTTAATAAAAGCCTATATCGGAATGCACACTTATCGTACATTACAAACAAAGCCTTGAGAGGTGCACACTCTTATAAAAGGCTGGGTCCTACAAACCTTTTATAATGCCAATGATCACCTATGCTTCATTAGCATGGTGACCAAAGGCAGACCAAGAGAAAACTCGAATGTTCTTGAATAAAATTCATAAAACAGCTTGCTTGAGTATTATCGGGGCGGTTAGAATATGCCACACAGTAACCCAAGGAATAATTACAGGACTCCATCCTCCTTTCCTTGCGGCCAGGAAAACGGCAACCTGTGTGTCCTTAAGGCTACTCAATATACACCAATTTAGAGAAAGCAACATAAAGGTACACATGAAGATAATGGAAGTCTTCTGGAACACACCGTGTCTCGCGGTCTCCAATAAGATAGATAAGAAGTTTTGAAGAAGAAGTGATAATAAAATATTAAGCTTTTTATTCTTATTCATGGCATACACCTTCTCCACTTTCTATAAACGCTCGTCGACTAAATACTTTATTTGCTTCTATGCGTCATTTGAGTCAAAAGGTTTTAAATAAATTTTTGTGTTCTACGTTGGTGGTCATACTAAGCACCCTAGTGTTGGCTAGATGGGCGACTCCAGATGCTGACATAAATTGTTGTCTGACTAATTTATTATGATATTAAGAAAAAAAACATATATATTGAACATATCTATCAAACGTGGTTTTAACTACTTCAAAGAATTAAACATACTGAAGATCAAAAAGTGTGTGTTGCTGACAGGACTAATATCTCCGCGTTTAAGAAGCTAAAACACGGAGATATTGATCAACTGCGATCATGTAGAATGATTACAAGCAATCGAATAACAGATTATAGAGAATAAGGTAACCAGAAGTAGAATACGAAAAAGTTTGTCTATTTGATTTG